CGGCTTCCCCCCCATCTTACCACAGCTTGGTGTAGTCCGTGTCCATCACCGCGGGACATTCTGTCAGGACTTTGGTGATTCCCACGGCACAGATCTTCTTCTCTATGTGACCCGAAACCTTCTGGAGCTCCGGGATTATAATCTTCTCCACCACCATCCCAAACATCCTGCCCCACAAACAGATCACGGGTCACTACCCAGAAAACCCCGCGCCACATTCATGTCATGGGGGCGGGGCACACCCCCCAACTCCGCCCACCATAGAGATCCCGCTACTCACTTGGGTTGGATGCTGTCCACCATTTCCTGCAGGGCGATGGCTCCGTATTTCACACAATACAGGTTCAAGAACACCAGGAAGCCTGGAGAGTGACAACGGGGAAAGGTCAGCCAATCACAGAGCTCCCGAAACTACCTGCTGAGGACCAAGACCACCGCGTGGCCCATCGAGGCTGAACACTCGCCCGGGTCTAGGACCGCCCACTACCTCTGCTGGAAGTCTGTTCCCAGAGTCACCTCCATACATTCAGCTGGAAGATCGGCCGCAGCGGAATGACGGGAAGGAGCCCAATCCCAGGGGAAGAGTCCGGAGAGAAGGGCCACAAGATGGCGGCCGGCTGGAGTGTGATTGGAAGACGCACTTCTCTCTCTAATCCTCCCCCTAAGTAATGTCTCCTCTCACAGAGACCTGGTGGGGTAAAAGCCCCCGAGGGCCCGATGAGCCCCACGTGTGACATGGAAGATGCCGGACCTTGTATGGAGCCCACCGTACAGCGAGGTCACTGGGAACCAAGTCCAGATGATGAGTATGGAAGGAGGCCGCGTCCTCTCTATGGGAGTGCGGGGTCCGCCGCCATGTCCCCCCAGAAGAGGGCCGGGGACAGGAAGTGAACCGGGAAATCACCTCCCCACGGGTCCCTCACAGGAAGCCGCCACCCACACCGGTCCCTCACAGGAAGCCGCCACCCACACCGGGCCCTCACAGGAAGCCGCCACCCACACCGGGCCCTCACAGGAAGCCGCCACCCACACCTAGGAAGCCTCCACCCACACCGGGCCCTCACAGGAAGCCTCCACCCACACCGGGCCCTCACAGGAAGCCTCCACCCACACCGGGCCCTCACAGGAAGCCTCCACCCACACCGGGCCCTCACAGGAAGCCTCCACCCACACCGGGCCCTCACAGGAAGCCTCCACCCACACCGGGCCCTCACAGGAAGCCTCCACCCACACCGGGCCCTCACAGGAAGCCTCCACCCACACCGGGCCCTCACAGGAAGCCTCCACCCACACCGGGCCCTCACAGGAAGCCTCCACCCACACCGGGCCCTCACAGGAAGCCTCCACCCACACCGGGCCCTCACAGGAAGCCTCCACCCACACCGGGCCCTCACAGGAAGCCTCCACCCACACCGGGCCCTCACAGGAAGCCTCCACCCACACCGGGCCCTCACAGGAAGCCTCCACCCACACCGGGCCCTCACAGGAAGCCTCCACCCACACCGGGCCCTCACAGGAAGCCTCCACCCACACCGGGCCCTCACAGGAAGCCTCCACCCACACCGGGCCCTCACAGGAAGCCTCCACCCACACCGGGCCCTCACAGGAAGCCTCCACCCACACCGGGCCCTCACAGGAAGCCTCCACCCACACCGGGCCCTCACAGGAAGCCTCCACCCACACCGGGCCCTCACAGGAAGCCTCCACCCACACCGGGCCCTCACAGGAAGCCTCCACCCACACCGGGCCCTCACAGGAAGCCTCCACCCACACCGGGCCCTCACAGGAAGCCTCCACCCACACCGGGCCCTCACAGGAAGCCTCCACCCACACCGGGCCCTCACAGGAAGCCTCCACCCACACCGGGCCCTCACAGGAAGCCTCCACCCACACCGGGCCCTCACAGGAAGCCTCCACCCACACCGGGCCCTCACAGGAAGCCTCCACCCACACCGGGCCCTCACAGGAAGCCTCCACCCACACCGGGCCCTCACAGGAAGATGCTACTCACAACTCACTTTTCACAAACTTTGTGGTTTTGGAGCTCTGCAACCTCTGGAAGAGAACGATGAAGATTTGTCTCTTGTACGGCTCCAGACACGTCCTGCAAGACACAAGGGCCACAGATCAGATCTATAAAGAGGACCTGTCACTCTATCACATGGAATTGGGGGTAATCAGGGGAGGGTCGGGGGAGGGGTGTATAAACTGTCAGCATGAGGCGCTCCTATTGCGTTCATTATGTACGGGTCAGTCCATGCCGCTTCCCGGGTTCAGCTGACAACACTCAGCCCAGGCCGCTGGTATTCGCTGCGATGACGGAGGGGACATGGCGGTCATGTGACCACCGATTAATGCACCAAAATATTTCCCATGAAATTGG